TTTCTTCGTATGCCTATGGTTTTGTGATCGGTGTGATGACATAATAAACATCACCAACGCTTCGTACGCGTCTTCTGAATTTTATCTAGTAACGGTCATGAGGATTAGCAGTATACGAAGATTAGGAATGATACTGACATTTCACCAAAACACATTGGTATTTTTTTACATACTTGTAGATCACAAATAAATTGCGAATTTATCCATTCGAAATTTTCGATATTTTTAATAATCTTAACAGTTTTCATTAGCTGAATGAGAATTCTAACTTCAGTCAACATCTCGGAACGACTAACATTTTTCAATCATGATTTATGTAGTGGTCATCTGTATACAGAAGACTTTCTCACTGGTATATTTTGATACATTTCTTAAGGAATATTTTAAACTCTTGTTTTAAAACACTGATTAAGGAATAAACTTAAAAACCTCGTAATTTAATTATATACAATTAAGAGGAAAGGAATAAATCATTAATATCAAATAAATTGAATATTTTCTGTATATTCATTTACGAAGTTCTGAATTTATACATATCATGTTAAATTTCTTTTTGAGAAATTTATAACTGAACTTCATAAAATGTTTGTACTAAAGTGTCTTGAAATAAAATATATTTACGAATTCAGTAACTATGTTACTGGTTAAAATTAAAACAGCGATCCATAAGTTTGTAATATTTCGACAAGAATAATGACATTTTTCTCTTTTTAGGTATGAAATTTAAAAAAAACACGTTCACAGTAGGATATGATATTTCAGTCAGTGTTTTCAAATCATTTGATATGAAATTCAGTAATGTAATTGTCTATCTTGCAGAAAATGTAGAATTAGATTTGTTGGTATATACATGTGTGTTAGTACCCTCGATCAATTTTTAAAACTAGGAATTCAGTTAATGGTTATTTACATAGAAAACGATTTGTTGAAGAACACACGTAGTTTGTTCATAGGAGCCATGTTCGCTAAAAATATATATTCCGTTTCATTTACAAAGGAAAGGTAACGGAATGTTTATGATAAAACACGAAAGTATTAAAACAACATGGAAAAATATCAGCAAATTTCAAATAATTTGATCGTTAGGCAAAAATAAATGGTGATGAGATAAAAACATTTTCGGCACTATTTCGCTTTGATTAATGTCGTTTCTAATAATAACTTCAGTGTATTATTTTAGAATAAAAACTAGTCGTTTAGAGCAATCTCTGGAAACAACCAACCAAAAACTTGTGATTATAATTCATGGTAACAATGTTCACATCTACTGGATAGTATTTTATTTTTACTAGAAGCAGATTTGTTAGCCTTAGGCACATCTAGTTTTCAAAATAGCCTGAGAAACACTCAAAGTAACGGATATGTTTTAAAAATAAAATATGCTTTGGATATTTGACTTAATATTTCATCCGGTGAATGTCTTGTGACACAACCTTCAGAAATCTCAGAAATGGACAGTAATCTGATCAAGTTTAGTGAGTTTTGTCCTAGCTCTCCTTCTTAAAATGTTGGAGCAATGGATGGGTTTTCAAAACTTAATTGTCTCCTTAAAAACTTCGGAATTTCAGTACGTAGATTACAACGACTCCTTGATGGCTTAGGTTTTTCAAATATTGGTAATGTCATACACAATGTTGTATCTGAAGATTTTCAGGTGAACCCAGAGAATTGGTTGAAATCTTATTTATGCAGACTACTAAGCTGATTAAATAGTCATTACATATAAATGCTTCAGGCACATAATATAAGCAGCAATTCGGTGCTAATTATGAAAAGTTGTTGTTTTTATGTTTTTTTAGTTTTAAAAGAGTTTTAATCTTTTTAAAACTCAGATATTTCCAGGAAACAATATCAACAATGTCACCAAAAACATATTTTTAAACATTTTAACTCTTGGGAGAGAACAATACTGAGATTCGATCGGTAAGTTTATTTCTAGGTCCCATTAACTAAATTCCCCGGAATTATATTGGAACTGCAATTCTATGTTTCGCTAATGCTCTCAGGTAAGTTCTCAGGACTTGAAGTTATACAACATTATATTTCATCTTTTCCATTAAAACCTTTTGATCGTATACTGAAGTTTTCTTCTATAAGTTGTTGGAAAGATGAAGCCTTGCCTTGGGTAAAGTGAGTAATTATTTACTACTACCAAATTAGTTAATAATGCTAGTAAATGGAATAGCAATTTGTCATATGAGTAATTTGCTTCTAAATAAAACTATTCCATTGTCATGATATGTAATAATTTACACTGTTTTGATGCAGTAGATCCATCGATTGAAAAATTATGATTAATTTTCGTTTTTTGTGACTGGAGATGATGCATGGGCGGGAAAGAATCATTAAGTAGGCTTATTTCTCGTGCTTAAACTCCACTTCGATTGTTCAATTCAGTTAATTCGTTAAAAATTTAAACTATATATCTGTATATATGCGGTGAAAGAAGAAATTCCCTGGACGATATAGTTTTTTTTTCTATGACAAATGTCCATATTAGGTGACACTAAAAAAGGATATATATATATATATATATATATATATATAGTTATGTTTTGATAAATGTATAATTAATTTAAATATGAGATTCTTATGATAACCTATTGGAGCTTCAGAAGTAAATTCATGCCTAATTTGTTCAGACTTCAGATATTGACCAATAGTTGGATTTTATGAGTGGTTTTTATTTAAAACTTTCGAGCTTATAGGGTATTCAATGTTGTAACTGTGGACCAAGTTCAATATCCACCTCCATAAACCCGTGAATGTTTTCCCAACATTTACGTTCCAGATGAAGTTGTACTTTAAATTATCTAATCAGTCACATATCTTAATTATGTTTTACCAACCACTGCCTGATGAAATGTGCTGTACTGCCTTATGGAAGTTTATATAAGTAACTATCATTCTTTTGGACGGTTTCAATCAAGTTATATCATAAAATGTAGAAAGTTTTGATGCTCCTGATATCACATCATCTCTACTCTTGACAAACCGAAGATTGTTGTAAGACATTACAAGTCGATTAGATAATATTACGGAAGCTAAACAATTTTGGTTTCATAATAGTTTTATGTTGGTTTTTTTTTAAAAAAATAGGCATAGCCGACCAACTTGATGGTCCAAATCATTAATTTGCACCGTTAGGTACAAAACACAAAACTGATATCTTATAATGATGTAGGTAAAGAAAAAAATTAAATTATCATAAATCACGAATGAGACGATTATAAAACGACAGTCAGTTGACGGAAATGATTATTAATAAAATTCATGAATATTAGATTTAAAGAATATAAGTCAGAAAATATTTTTGAAGTAATTGTTCACAGGATTTCCTTCTATGATTTACATCCTATAGCATTGTAATGCCCTGCAAACTGCTCAAATGTATGAGATTTTAGAAAAGACTGCTTTGAATCGGAAGAATTACATCATTTAAAAGTAAGTAACCACAAGAGATGTAGTCTGATACCTCGCTTTTGGATATTTATGAAGGTAGTATAGTCTAAATAGTAAATGCTAGTAAATGTTTGTAATTTCTGGTTGTTTGTATTTAAAGTTCTATTGGTCAGTGAAAAAAACGCAGTTTAAAAATTATGATGTAACTGTGAAACTGGTTGGATTAAATTAAAAATGGCTTCAAGTTGTAATTGATTGAAAGTTATGGCTATTATAGCTATTTCAGTTCGGTTAATTTATAAGCCATAACTATAGCTATTCAGATAACTAGGAAAATTATCAAACACGGTTTCGAAAGAGATTTGTTTGATAAACTTAAATCAGTTGATTTCAGAGTTTATATTCAAAAGCAACCACTTTTTACTTATCGTTGAATGATTTCTTCAAATCAGATAGATAGATACTATCTCAGAGGTTAGGCGTTCGCGCTCAAGACGGAAGGTTCTGGGTTTGAATCCTGCGCGGTGCAGGAGTCGTGAGTGAGCACTGCTGATGAGTCCCATACCAGGACGAAACGGCCATCCAGTGCTTCCAGGTTTCTAATGGTGGTCCAACATTGATAGATTCATGATATCAAATGTGTAACTTAACAATCTTCACAACCCCGTAATGAAATATTAAAATTCCAGTGATAATTTCCATTGTATCAAGCTGTTAGTCTGTAACTCTAAAAAGTGAGTTAGCTTTTAAGTTCGAACCATATAATAAAATTGGTCTACAAACAGTTGTGAATCATTATTATTATTAGGCATACAAAGTGTAAAACTCACAGTCTGAAGTGGTACATGAGCAAAGAAAATGCACAAACAGAATTAATTTTAATGTTCATTATGTTATATTACATGAGACTAGAAAGAAATTAAAGTAATGAAAAGATCTTGAGATGGTTGAGAAAATTTGTAGCTCAGGTGGATTTGTTGGGGTGTTTCGTTCTTTGAGCTAGATCCAGATCAAAAAGCGAAATGATCTTCAATGGATAAAGCTTTCTATTGAAATCAAAGTTTACTCACTGTGCCAATGATATAAGAGTGCTGATGTTGACCATTTAGCCTCTACTCAGAATAAAAAAAACAAATTATGACGAGCCTTATTTATCGTTTCTGTTATGTCTCTACGTTCGCCAGTGCACAACTATAAGAATGCTAACCAACTCAATAATTTTTAGGGAAATAGGACAATCAAGATTGTAGTTACAAAATAATCAGAACAATATCCAGATATATATTTATACTTAAAATAATCATTTTATCAATATTCCATTCTGTCAAATGCTTTAAAAATAAGCTAATAGGATTACCTTTTAAGATAATCAACAGTCTTCTCTTTTTTCTAACAGGAAAAATTTGTGAATGCTATACATATAAATATATATATATATATATATATATATATATATATATTCATAAACTGAGGTCACAGAAAAAAGGAAAAAATTTGCAAAACGCCTATATATATATATATATATATATATATATATGACACAATCACATTCTAACCCAAAATAAATATTAATCCATTGAAAATGTCATGCAACTAACCTGTCACAAGAATATGAATTATTTCTTGACCTAGTGAATTATTAACAAATTTCACTGATGTTTTTACTGCTTTACGCGTAGTTCGATATTGTCCTATTGATTTTCCCGCTATAATTGTATGTAATTTGAAATTTGTTGAAATATTTTCACTTTTGCAAAAGACTGATCGTAAGACTGAATGATTACCTGTGAAAAGAAGAATAATTAGTATTATATTATTTGCAAAGCTGCTTAATAGGAAAACTTTGCAATGAACACAATGACAAAATCAATCATTATTTTTATATCAGATAATTAAATTTTATTAGAAATTTGTCTGAACTGAATAACGGTTCAATCCATGGCCACATTGATGATTCTTGTTTTTCGAGACAACACAACCATTCACACCAGAAATCCATTTATATTACGGTTAGTGGTAGAATATTTAGTTTATTTGACACAGCACTAAATTGAGCCTGAAACTTTATTAGGCTAGTTGTCAAACAAAAATACCAAAACAGTCAATCATTAACATATACATCAACATGTTTGCTGATCAGTAGATACAAATAATAAATTTGTGACATTATTAACTAATTAAGCTTTGTTTCATATATGAATCTCAATGCCAAGTAACAGCTTTGATAGTGTTTTGTTCTCTGAGCTGGATGGTTTGATTACAGAGCTTTCATTGTTTTTCTTAAATTCGAATACTTCACTTATTTACGAAGTTCACGCTGATGATGTTGTTCAGAAGAATGACGAAAGCTTCACGATCAAATCATCCAGATAAGAGAACATAACTCCACCAACATCCACCTGAACTACAAATATTCAACATACCAAGCCAATCTTAGGTCAATAGTGGATCCAACTGCCTAAGTAGTAAAGGGAACAATTTATAAGAGTATTATCCCTAGAGCACTCATAACTAAATACAATATTCTTAATACTATCTAAAATGACAGAATATTTAAATGTGGCTTAAAAAAATTACTGTCATCTATTTAGTTTAAAGTAGTTAGTTATTTGTAAGCGATTTACCTTCATAGCTTTCATCTAAGCCTGCATTTATCAGACCAACTGTATATTCACTGGGGATTAATTATTGTGTTATACCTAAAGGTTAGTTGACTAGTCTACCAACAATTTGATGGACAGTGTATGATTGCATGTATTCAGATTGAGACATTTTTTCTGATTGATTCCATTAGTAAAATTATTCACCAATAGATAATACTAAATTTTTTCTTTTTCCTTTCTCATTTTTTTATAAACAAAATATAAAATATAGAAGACATATTCTTCTCTTTGTCCCAAAACTAATCATGATAACAAACGACAAGTTGATTTTATTATGCTTCGTTTTGTAAGCAACTTTTAATCAGATCAAACTTTAGAATAAGGCAATCTCTTGTCTTTAAATGTTGTATGAAGTAATTTTTATGGTTTCAAATAAATCTTTTTAATATTTCTTACACTAAAAACAAGATATAAACAAAAAAACTTAATATTCATAAATATTTTGTACACTTTGTAGTTGAAAAACATACGCATACATACATTTAGTTTGAACACTTTACATTCTAATCATATAAACTTTGTGACTAATACATATGGTTAGTGGTTATTCCATAATCTTTCAATAAAGGCAGATGAAACGTTTTTATGACAACTGCAAAACGCTTTATTGATAAGCATTCGTTTCTTGATATATTAAAGCTGAGTTACAGTCGATTTAATGTTATTTTCTTTACAAACAAATTGATATTCAGTTGGCAAAGTTCTTATATACCCAATAAAAAAAGCTACGATTAATCATGCATCAGTCAAGTAGAATTACGATTAGGTTTGTGGAATATTCCCTCACGATTGCCTAGAATATTAGACACGTTATCGAAAATTTTAAAGCTACAGTTCATCGATAATAACTGAATTCTATTCATTATATATTGACTAAATATATAAATGATGAAGCAAATGTGCCTCTTCAAATAATTGTAAATCATGTTGATGATTTCAAGGACACTCAAGTTCATGTTAGTTCTAACCATAAAATTACTTTATATAATTCACCTCTAAGAACAAAAACATTGATTATTTTCGGAATACTCTATAGCCCTAAACTTAATTATACAATTTTGAAATTACCTTTACAGTTATGTAGGACAATAAACAAACAAGATCTAGCAAACGAGGTCCGATTTCTAATTTAAGACTAAAATCAATATAATAATAATATATTGATTCAGGCTTTAGTTCGATCTGTAAATTATGCTATATACATGATATATTAGCTTTCTGTAGCAAAATGCTCCAAACAAAAACTTAGTATTAAACAAAACTATTCAGAAAAGTACTGAGAATCAGTAGTAATCAGTAGTTATGATGAAAATTTATATTTAAACTTAACAAAATATTCAGAGGATTACCCATCTTATTAATAAGCAACAGTTCTCAATAAATACTACTGAGTACCATTTTCCGTAATTTTAGTAGGATGTCCTTACTTAAAAAGTCAACCAGTTCCATAGCAAAATAGCAACTCACCAATATCGATGAATGAGAATAACTATTTTTACAAATGTTTGTCCTAAATCGGTGTTCTACATGAAAAATGTTCTATAAGAGACCTGAGGTTCCTAAGTTTGATTTCATGTGGCTTTATAGGTCTTTAAGTTAGCTGATGACATCAAGGTGAATAACTCAATTAGCTGAAATAACCTTTATTGTACATTCGGTATTTATGTTTTTGGAGCGCTTATGTTGTATAAAGACAGCGTTTATTGTCAATTTCTTTAAGTGTATAGTTGGAGACACTGAACATTGATTGCTTATCACCGTTTGTCGGTACAGCGACCAATATATATATATATCACTATTCGTTAATTGCATGCGTCTTACATACTATTTGTTAGTTGACGATCAAAGTGTTTATTGTGTATGCGAACTTTATGAAGAAGCCACAACAAGGATTGCTTTAAAGGTTCTATGAAAAATGACAGATCCTTTTAAGATAACGAAGAATAATTATTGTCTTCATTAAAATGAACTTTTCCCGTTGAAATAATTTAGTCCTTAAAATTCAAATTTGACTTCTAACATTTCTGAGCATGATATGTAGAAAAGTATCTTAAATTTTTCCAACTTATTATCTTAGCTACGTACATAAAATTACCTAGTCAAGTTCAATCTAATGATTTTGAATAAACATTTCCGTGTTTGGTTATAAAGTGGTCTATTAGTCAATGTCTATATAAAACATATTTACATTTATAACTGAAGTCTGTTCTAGTTAGTGAGCTAGACATAATAATTTATAAACTCTAACTCTGACTGCTCATCATACTTCAAATATCTGGAACGCGACTACTTTTCATATAATGTAAATAGTTTTATTATTTAAATTCAGTGTTCCTTTTTTCATATGTAGTTTTGATGAAATTTAGAAGTAAGATGTTAATTTTTTTTCTAGTATTCAGGGTATTTTCGGAAATAATTTTGTATTCAAAAGAATAAAGTATGAACCTTTCAAGGCAACTAATATTGCCAGTGTTACATAATTTTTAGTTTGATTGGGATGAAAAAGCATTTCCTCTATTCGGTACGATGAATAATTTAAGAGAAAAAGGTGAATTTCACATGTGATGTTCTGATTAGACAAAATGTCAAAGTGAAAAAAAGATCAAAGAGTAGGCAGTATTTAGGAAACGCTGTTGGTCATGAAAAATTACAGCCTTAAACATTTATTTATGAAAAATAAGTTGTAGCCTCAAAGACAAAAAAAATTTGTTCACATAATATTTCATATTTTATAAACAGGATATACTGTTAAAGTTTTGGTACATTCAAAATTTTGACAGTCAATAACAATTACATCTATATTGACATTTTGTACGTAAGTTAATGCAACTGTAGTTACTCAGTTTATGAATAATAGGTATGTAATTTTTTTCTTGAAATGGTAAAGTTTTGAGAATCATTGAAAACTGTAAAGTATAATGTTATATAATCCTACCATTTGGAAAAGCACAATGGTGAACACAAAACAATCAAAATTATTTAGTCCTACCTAGAGAAAAGTATAATAGGTACTTGATAAAATTATCTGGATGAATGTAAAGAGAAAAACAACTTATTTCCGTAAATTAAAAACACATGAAGACTTAATTATCATGTAGCAAATAACAAGACTTCTTTAAATGTTTCATAATCTATTATAATTGTATAATCTTAGAGGCATTTCGAAAATTAATAATTTTGAATTCCTAAACTGACTGGACGTATTTTAAACAATGAAAATCGAAAAACGATCTAAAAAACTGTCATCAAATAAAAGGATTTAGTAATGAAGACTATTACTGTCACTAAATCTGCATCAGCATAAATAAATCTAAAGTTTTGTTATTTTAAAAACAACCGAAGGAGGTCGATACATGTTATCATTCTAAGAGCTAGAGTCTATCTAACAGTTTCTACTGTAAACCAACATTGAGTGTTTAATCGTAACTGTTATCATTCATATTCAACAATATATCCTAACAAACAAACAAACATTTCTCACTGGTGAAGTGGACAGAATTTTAATGTAGACGACAGAAAAGTTGGTTTGAGTATTGGAATGTTTTAAATTACTTATTTCTATTAGAATGTATTTGATATTTGAAGATGTATATTTAGTGTTTTACCGATAATTTTAGAAAAAAATAAAAACGCTAATCCTGAGTACCTACCATTTCATTTTCGAATTAAGTTACAACAATCCTATATTGTAGCGTTATTTAAACTGTTTTATCTTTCGTATTTCATTTTTAGATGACATTGTGTAGTCGTTACAAGTCAGATGATTTTGACGTTTCAAACTTAAACGTATGTTAAGTTTTAAATGTTATTTATACAAAGCGTTGTGATTAACTTACTTGTTGTCAGATATTTCGATTCAAATGTCATTTATCTAAACTTTGGAATATAAAGATTTTCAAAAATTATAACAAAGTTAATTTTAAGATGAAGTTATTTAACTACTCGCGTGTAAAGTTTTCGTCGGCTAAAAATCTAATATCGCTTTATACGTACTAGAAAAAAAGGTCTGGTTTTGCAATACTAAGCTAAATTATATTAGGCTACTTCAGTGTTCACTGAACAGTATGTTCTCCAATAAATTTTCTGAAGGTTATTTGAAATTAGTGAAATTGTTCAGTAGA